CCCAGACGGGGTGGTGACCATACCGCGCGGTGAGTCGGTGGGGATTCGGGGTCGCCGCACGGTTTTGGTACTCGGGTCCCCTCTCCGAGGATGTCTCGGGCGACAGGGGCCTCCAGGGTCCCAAGACCGGGCGGTGACGGACCGTGCGGTGAGGTCTCTAAGGGTTCCGAGGTCACCGCACGGTCTGTCACCGCCCCGTTTCGGGGCTCCGAAGTGGGGCTGGCGTGGGCGCATGGCGGCGGCGAGCCTGGGGGGAGGTGAGACGGGGCGAGCCTTCCCAGAAGGCCCGGAAGCTCCCCGGCCTTCCGGCAGCAGTTTCCTGGGGCTTTCCCGACAAGGTCCCCAGAAGAGTACCCCGGAAGGCTGGAGGGCGTTCTGAGAGCCTCCGCTGCCTTCTGAGAAGGCCGTCTCCTTCTCGCACTTCCCCCCGTCGCTCGCCGCCGCGCATGAGGTCAGATGGCGAAACGTCACCCCCACCCCCAGTTCCGACTCCCATCCCCGAGCCGGCGATTCAAGGGGGCGGGACTGGGGGTGGGGGTGGGTTTTCTCCATTCTTGGGCCCCAGTCCCGACCCCCTGGGTCGCGGGTTCCGGGAGGGGGTCGGGACTGGGGGTAGGGGTTGGTTTTCGCCTTCTCATGAGGTGGCGTCCTTTCGGGCCCCCGCACTGGGACATTTTGCTACACCAGGGCTGGCGCGCCCGCGACAGCTGCAGCCGTGGGTCGAGCCGTTCTCTCCGCTCCTCGCTCGCCCCCGGTGAGCTTCTCGGCGGTGCCCCCCGCGAGGAAAGGGAGCCGCAGCCTCGTGCGCACGCTGCTCCACGCGAGGGCGGACGTCGAGGGCGACAGCGGCCGCGGCGCCCTGTCCCTCGCTATCGAGAAGGACATCTACTATCCGCATGGCCTCCGGCCCAACCCGCCACCGTGCCTGGGGTTGCGGGTCAGTGCCCTCAGGGCTGCCTGTTGCTGCCTCGATACGCGCGTTTTGATACGCAGCACGTACCGTACTCGAGACGTCCGTGCCAATGCGTTGCGTGTTGGCTCCACGTGTTGGGCCACGTATTGGCGACTGTATCGCGTCGGACCTACGTTTTCAGCTGACGTGTTGAGTTCCGTATCGATACGGTACGTGTTGCGTGTTGCGTATCGGGGCAGCTAAGGTGGGGTCTCTTGGGAGGCCGTTTGGGTTCAGGCCTCCTGGGGGCCGTTCTGGGGCCCGCTTGGGGCCCGAGGGCGCGCCCAGCTCGTGCCCCTCGCGGCAGGGTGGCGGACCTGGTGAGCACGCTTGTGGCCGGCGGCGCGAGCCTCGTGGACGCGAGCGGCCGCAAGCAGACCATGCTGACGACCAACTCGGGCAGGCTCGTCATCCTTTCTCCTCGGGCCGACTACAATATGGATTTATCGATCAATAATAATAGTAATATTGATCATACTAATAATAATACTAATAATACTACTACTACTACTACTACTACTACTAATAATAATAATAATAGTAATAATAATAATAATAACAGTAATAATAATACTGATAGTAATGATTCTGTTGCTAATAAGAATAATAGCAATAATAGGTAATACTAATGATCATCATATTAATAGTAATAAGAATAATAAGGATAAGAATAATAACACTAGTAATGATACAAGCAATCTGGATGCATCGATCGTCGCTCAGCTGCCCTGGTGCGCCCGTGCTGAAGCGCAGCGCGTGCCGTGCTCAAAGCGTCAGTGCGAGCACGCTGCGTGTTGGCCGGGCACGTGTTGGGCCACGTTTTGGCAGGCGTATCGCGCCAGGCCTACGTGTTCGGCCCGCGTGCTGAGCTCCGTGTCGACACGCTACAGTGCCGTTTTTTTATACATGCTCCGCGTGCGGATCATGAATTAAAAGATGCAGGGATTTAGTATTAAAAAACAACGATGAGTTCATGCATACATCTATTCATGAATTAATCCCATATGTTTAAACATCTTAAACATCTTATATATTCAAATGTTTACATATGGGATTTATAATCTTTATGTTTACATATTCAAATCTTTAAATTAATCCCATATGTTTAAACATCTTAAACATCTTATATATTCAAATGTTTACATATGGGATTTTACATCCCATATGTTTAAACATCTTGTGTATTCAATTCTGCCCTGTACGTGTGGCGTGCGGCGTGTCGGAGCAGCGGAGCACGAGGCGAGCCCCGAGTCTTACGGCGCACAGCGCTGCAAACAAAAAACAAAACCTCGGGCAGGCTCTTCGAGAGCCCCGTGGACCTGCTCTTCAGCAAGAACAACGCCGTCACCATCGCCGCGGCGGCGGAGGGCCTGAAGGAGGCCCCAGAGCAGGCAAGATCGACGTGAGAAAGCAGGGCCGACTGCGCCGACACTCGCGCGCGAGCTTCCCGCGTAAGGCCGTGTTGAAGCTCAGAGGAGGAACAGCTACCGATACCGCTGCTCGTCCTGGAGAGCCCTTGTCGCCCACGGCTGGATTTTCTTCGAAATCCTGGTCAGATCGCACCCAGGGGGAGGTCCAGGGAGTACCGATATCGGTACATGCTGGTCCCACCAGTAAGCGGCTTCTTCTTCTTCTTCTTCTTCACTCGGTGTGCTACGCTGGCTGCCCGCGTAAACCGCGGTGTACGGTCGCTATCGGGCATGGAGAGAACGCTCAGCCAGACAAGTTGACTGAGGAAATCGGCATCACTTTACTCGACACTGGCATTCGAGCGTGCCAGTGCAGTCTCCAGTCGGTTTCGCTAATCGACATGCGTCTCGCAGGGTACATTTGGTATTCTTCTGGGGTCCACTCGGAAGACGGTGCCGTGCGCACGTGGCCGCTGTCACCAAAGGTTGTGTTGCTAAAGGGTGTTACGTGAAAATTCGACGCTGTGTCTTCTCTCGTAAGACCCGTTTCTTTTCGTCGCTCAGGTGAGGGCACTGAGCGACAGGCACTTGCTGAGCTTCCTCAACTGCTACGGCCTTCAGGGGCAATGGTAGGGGTGGATAGGCTCAGGGGGGAATGCATCGACCCCCGCCCATTGATCGCCGATGGGGGTCGGATAGCCTCACCCCGCCTGAGAACGTGCGGATTCGCCATCGGGGGTCTATGGCCGATCTATCGGCGATGTAGATATCGCCGGTTCCCGGTCGATGTCTCCCCCCTCCCCTGGTGTTTTTTCGGTCATAGCTCGGGCCTCTGGCGGCCGTTCGGGACGATCCAGGAACCCTCGGAACGCTCTTGGCGAGGCGCAGCCGCTAGAAGGCACCCAGGCTTGAAAGCTGCCGAGCCCCGCCGATTCCAGGTCGATGTCCCCCCCCCCATGAGCCAGTCCCCACCCCTCCTCCCCTTCCTCCTCCTCCTCCCCCTCCTCCTCCTCCTCCTCCTCCTCCTCCTCCTCCTCCTCCTCCTCCTCCTCCTCCCCCTCCTCCTCCCCCTCCTCCTCTTTCTCCTCCTCCTCCTCCGCCGCAAGCGGTCGCTGCCGCGTCCTCCGCACCCCGCCGCGCGCGCGCCCCCGCCGGGGGGGCCCCGCCGCGAGGCGGGCCGCGCACGGCGCCTGTGGCTGCCTGTGCGCGTGGCTGCGGCTCGTGTGGTGTAGACCACGTCCACCTCCGCCGCACCCCGAGGGGGTAGCGCTGACCCTGCCGACGAGCGGGAGGGGGGAGGGGGGGGAGGGAGGTCGTCCGTGCGTCGAGAGGGGAGAGGAGGGAGGGGAGTCGCCGTGGGCCTCGAGGGGGGAGGAGTGCCACCGGTTGCGTCGTGGGTCACTCCCCCCCCCGTTGAAACTAGGTAATCCTCAGAGGACCTAGTGGAACGTCTTGTACTGACGGTAGACGAAAAATATGGAGTGTATGATGTAGACTGTGTCGCAGTAGTTTGCACAGCTTCTTCTGGGCGCCAATCAGTACGCCGACGCTTCGTACCCTGTGTAGCCAAGAACGGTGAGTCCTCGTAGATCTTCACCTGCGGCGGGTAGTTGATGTCGCCTGTGTCGGGTACTATTGGGTGCTCCTGGAAGTCGCTGTATTGGTTGGTAAAGTGGCCGAAATAGCGGGTTTTCCCGTTCTTGGTAGGTTGCAAACGAGGTTCTCGTTGTTCTTGAAGATGATGTTCTGGTGGAACGGGTCGTAGAGCTCCAGCTTTGTAAACATCTCCGTGGGTTAATGCTGGAAAACAGGACTATGCATCAGTAGGGACGTAACCTTCTTCGGGTCGCCGACGTTGGGCGTCGGGTAAGTCGGTAACTGCGGCATGAACGTCTTGTCCACACTGGGGATGTATAGCTGGAAGATCATCGTGTCCGTGTATCATTCTGTCTTGGTGATCAGGTAGTTGGAGCGCGTAAGCCAGTAGTTGCGCTGCAATGGCATAGGGTTCTGCCAATTCGGCCCCATGCCTTCACGTTCGTCTGGTACTGGTATGTAGGAGCCTTCTGGACAAGGAGCTTCGAAGATTTGTATGTCTCTGGACTCGGCGTATTTGTAGAAGTATTGGAAGGCCGCCTGGATGTCGGAGACGTAGAAGCCGTGGGCGCCGTTCTGGTTCTGCGACATCTTGGCGAGTAATTGAGTCCAGCAGTTGGACGAGGACCCGTCCGAAAGAGTAAATGGGAGCGGGTAGGAGTCCTGGACCCAGACACCGATTTGGCCGTGCGGTTCTTTACGTACGAGGTCGTGGTCTCATCGGGACCAGTCGTCTCGTGCTTCGGGTAATAATTGGCGTGGCGCGACATGTAGATGTTGACGGCAGCACCCAGGTAGGGGTGGAGTGAGCTGATGCTTGAGCCGTACGCTATACACGGGGTCTAGAATATGCAGGCTTCTGACCGTCGTAGCGTATCTGCTATCAGCATGGAGTACACAGCATAGCGGATAGCGTTGGTAGTACAGGGTGTAGTGCCGCTATATATCAGCATTGTTGGTGACGTGAATGCGTACCACCTGACTATGTCGAGACAGCTTGTCACGCAGGGGTGGTGGTAGGTAGGGCGAGGAGGACAATTCACCTTTTGCTCTGTAGTAAGTAGCCGGCACATGGTAGCTTGGAAGCGGCTCAGCACGTATATAGTATGGCCCAACGCGTAGCAAGGAGCTACTGGTCCCTGCGCTGCTTGCGCGGCGGCTCAGGCAGGGGCAGGGCCGCGCGCTTCATCGAGCGCGGCGTGTCCTCCTCGTTCGCCATGTCGGGACCCTCCGCGGGTAGCGGGTTCTGGTCGTACATGATCGCGGGCTTGCTGTAGTAGACGCCGGGCATTTTGTAGTCACCGTAGCCCTCGTAGTAGTCCTTGTGCATCCGGTGGCAGATGTACTCCCAGTCGAGGTCGACGTAGCGATTGAGAGGCTTCCAGCGGAAGTTCTTATCGACAGCCGATCCCTCGGGAATTGGCTCCCCGTCGATCGTCTGGTACTTCATCTTGTAGGACTCGGCGAGGCCCGTGTAGGGGTTGTAGCGGAGCTTCTGGTGGCAGCGCATCTTGTATCCGGAGTCATGGTAGATCATCAGCTGCGCGAGGTAGCGGGGCTCAATAGGGCGCCGACCAGGCATGAGCTGGTCCACGATGGCGGACTTGAGCGATGATCATGTCGGTAGCGGACTTGACGATGATGTCCTTCTTCATAGCCAGGTGTACTACGTCGGGTGGCACCGTGATCTCCTTGGGGTAGGCCCGCTGCTTCGCGCACAGGTACCACACGTAGGGAACCCAGAAGTCATCTGGTAGAGGTTGCAGTGGTGGCACAGGGCGTTCTTGATGTCCGAGACTTGCGCGGAGGCCCTGCACCCGTAGATCTCGGGGTAGATGCGGGACTTCACCGGTATCTGTAGCCAGCCAGCTGGGTTCGTACTGGGTGAGGAGCTGCCGTGCTCGTTGTACGTCTGCTGCTTGGCGATGTTGCCAGTGTAGGTCTGCTTGATCCAGGTGAAAAGCATGGCCGTAAGCCGAGGTAACAGCGGTAGCGGCGCAGGTGCTGGCGGTAGCTGGCACGCTTGAGCCCAGTAGCCGCATGCGGCGCTGTAAGGTGAGCTGGAGATGGTGGTTCGGGGCACAGGTCCTAGAGTAGGCAAACGGCCAGTCGTCTTCCAAAAGTACACGAGTGCTGGTGGGCTGGGTCTGTATCGGTAATATAAGGGAACTGGTAAGAACTACACACATGTGATACCAAGGCCAAATTATTTTGTCTGTAGGTCCACGGCGTCCTGTTATGCCCCTGGCACACGGCCTAGTAACACAGTACTTGAGCATGTAGTATCGCCCATATTCTAGTGCTCCTCCACTTCCTCCTTGAATTTGTTCTGCAAAGCGGACTGTACGTGAAGTGCGCGCGCTTGAGCCAGGCTGTGGTGGTGACGTGCAGACTGGGGTGGGTGACCAGGCTGGTATAGTGGTTGGTATTTGATCCGGGGACGTGCTTCTCGTGGAAGGGGTATAGATGACCGTGGGCGTTGGTGTGACTGGGATCGTGGGCGAGTGTGACTCGAACTTCAACTCTTGGACTGGTTCGTAGGTTGTTCCTGATTGTCCGATTTGTTTGGCGTAGTCGGGTTGCATCGTACGGTCAGGGTCGATCTTGACATAAAACGGTCTGAGCGTGTTGTGCACATAGTTCGGGGAAGTGACTCGTGTGCTTTGGTGGCCCCACACTGTCATGTAGAGGTTCGTGACGAAATTGCACAGCTTTGGGTTTATTCCTTAAGTGGTGATGTGTTGGACCCTGACCTTGTGGCATCTCTTTCAAGGGCAGCAACGTGGCCGTGTAGGTGGTTACAGCGTCCGTGGTTGGTCGCACCCGATAGTTTATGTGCTGCTTTAGGGATGTGCACTGTCAGTAGGGTCGTCGGCTTTTTAGCCTCCGCGCCAAACATGCATTGGTCGTTTGATATGGTTGTGGCCTGCGGTGCTGCCAGTAGGGTTCTAAGCTCCAGCAGCTTCCAAGTGGAGGCGCAGCGAGCACGCCAGTAGGGTGTTGACGGGTGTTCCATGGTAGTAGGTATGCCGATGAGTAACGCTTCCAGGAGTAGCTCCAGCGTGATACGTAGTAGTTGATTGCCAATGCGTACCTGTGCACGTTCCTTGGTCGTCAGGCCCTTGTGGCCCCAAGGTTGTAGGATGTCTCGTAGCACTTGTGGGCCCCCTCTGTGCTATCCACTATTCGGTTTCATCTGGCACCTGACCAAGTCTCGCAGGTGACGTATGAGGTATGCGCAGCGCCTCTTGCGTTTGGTTAGGTGTACAACTTGTCGCGGGCGTGCGTGGTAGTCCGTGCGGCAAGCGCGGCAGAGTCCATAGTCCACAGTGTTTTATGTGGTCGTCCACCGGGTGGTACTTAGTCATGCGCATGGACCAGGATCCTTTATTGGCCCGCAGGGCGCTGCATTCCGGACGCGTGTAGAAAGAGCGGCGCCAGACCATGTGTTCTATGTGGTCACGCTACCAGTCTGTGGCAGCCCTCCAGCGGGCGTCGATGTATCTGAACGCCGCTCCAATGTTCCCCGCGATGATCTTGATCCAGTCCTGAGTGCTGGCGGGGGCGCTCTTGTCCTGGTAGTCGTTGAACTGCGCGAACCAATCCAGGTCGCTTTGTAGTTGTGTAGTCCAGCGGCCTCCAACTTGGAATAGTATATCCAGCGTCATCAGGAGCTGTTTGGGGGCATAGTGCACGGCTCGCGTAAAGTATTTTAACCAGCGGTAGCGCATCAGTAATTGGATGTCCATCCTGTCCGTATCCGCAAGGATTTTATTATCAATAATGCATGTTTTCGCTTGTTCGTGGGCATGTACGCCGGCGGCCCTTGAGTGAACTTTGCTGTGAGTACCGTGTAGTGATGCAGCTTCCTTCGTGTTCAGCGGCTCCCAGGTTTCGGCGTTGTAGGTGAGGCGCGAGAGCGCAAGTGCATCTGCCATGTAGAGCTTGTCCTTGAGCGCAATGGCCTTATGCGGATATAGGGCCTTACGTACAGGGCTGAGGGCTTGTGATGTAATG